AGGAGTGATGGGTGTGTGGGGTGCGTGCCCCTGGCCTCTCAGTGTGAGCGCTGTGAGGAGTGATGGGTGTGTGGGGTGCGTGCCCCTGGCCTCTCGGTGTGAGCGCTGTGAGGAGTGATGGGTGTGTGGGGTGTGTGCCCCTGGCCTCTCGGTGTGAGCGCTGTGTGTCCTGGCAAAGAGGAAGCAGCGAGAAAGCAGGGCAGAGAGGACACCAGCAGCAGGAAGTCCTGCAAGGACTCAGTGCTCCATCCGGGGCACCTAGCCCCACAGGATGGGGGAGCAGGGTGACCCCAACCCCTGTCCTCCCACTTCGTGCCAAATTCAGCCTGGAGGGAGAAGGTAGCTGGGGACTGGAGAAGCAGGAAAGACCCTTCCTTTTTCAGTTTACATATAAACAGGAAGAGAAGCAGAGAAGCCCTTCCAACAGTCTTGTCCACCGGCCCAGGCCTGCTTCGCCCAACTAAGAGCTGCTGGAGAACAGACCTGGCCTCCAGCCTACACCTCCACCGTCACCTCTGTTTCAATCTTACATGCTTAGGTTGAAGAACTGCCGTGACAAACCTGGGTTAGGTCTCTAGAACCAGCCACCTGTGTTGGTGAAACTCTTTCTCACACTGCAAAGGAATGCTGAAAACCCCTCACTGTGGGAGATTTGCTGCTGACTGGGAGAGCTGCCTCGGCCTCTGAAGGTCCAGTCAGCTGCGGTGACCACGCGTGCACGCACGCACGCACACACTCCCTCTCCCTCCAGCTGGGTGATCTGACTTGGGAGGACTGTAACCAAGTAAACACAGGTCATGTAGTGAAACCTGCAGGCTCCGCCTGCCACCACCCACCAGGGGCTCCTTAAATAGCGAGCACATTCCATAGGAGACAAAATGTGTCCTCGTAGGAGCACGTAGATGACCCAGAGAGTCTGCAATTTCCTTTAGGAGGGATCACGATGTTTTCAGGAAAAAATCAATGGATGAAGTCAGGCAAATAACTAATGCAGATACTATCCCCCAGCCCGCGGGGCAGTGCCGATAGCAGAGGCCACGCTGTGGTGCCCAGGGGCCGGCTGGGGTCTTGCCCCATCCTTCCCACTCGATGTGCTGGGGAGCCCCAGACGCACCGCGCCCCAGGACGAGCTGTGGGGATGCGGAGGTGAAGCACTTACTCGATGGCGGAGCACAGGGCGCAGGCCACGGTGCTGCAGCTCCAGCAGGTGCGCACACACCGCCCACACAGGGGGCGCTCGCACCGGCCGCAGGCTGCCTTCCCGTCCGCACTGCGGACACACGAGGAGCAGGCCCTGGGCGCTGCCTCCGACGGGTCTGCAAGGAAGAAACACCACACTCTGTTGGCCGACAGGATGGCGCCGCCTCCCCGCACAGCCAGCCGTGGATTCTACACGGGAGCCTTTCGTGCTGCGTCACTTCCCACGGTCAGGGACACCATGGTGTGACCACCTGAGGCAGTGGCTCTGTCCTGGGGCGGGGGGGGGGGCGTGCACTCCACGTCTACCTTCGCGTCTCCACCGGACCCTCCCGACACCCCTGGAGCTAAGTACAGCACACAAGAGCCATCTCACAGGCGAGATCCACGCCGTGCCCGAGGCCCCAGCCTGCTGTGCCAAGCAGGATGATGGCGCTGACCTGGCCCAGGGGTGCTCAGGGGCCTCTCTGCTCCCTTCTGGCCTGAGAGAAGCTGTGTCACAACTTCCAGATCTGGGCATCTACTGAGAACTTCTGGTTACAGGTGCCCAGCACTGCCCAACCTGCCAGATCCCTGCTCATCTGGGCAGGAGGCCCTAGTGGAGAGCCCCAGGCACAGCCTCACGGCTGGAGAAGAGCTCTGTCCTGCTGCGGCTGCACTCACCAGCCCCCGAGGCCTGGACGCAGCTTCTTAGCAGGCGGCCGCCCGGCCCGATCAGCATCTGCCCGCTGGTGAGCCCTGGGACACCCGTGGGGCTGGGCTTCGGGGACTCGGGCAGGTGGACGAGGGTGCAGTCCTCTGGCGAGGCTTCATCGCACATGGGGTCCATGCAGGCCTGGGCCCCGCGGAACAGGAGCTGCCTGGTCCTCTCTGCAGAAGACACAGGGTTTCTGCGCTGATGCCATCAGTCTACAAAGCCCTTTGAGCCCCACGAGGACCCCTCCAGCAGGCAGGGTGAGGCTCTTTGTGCCCTGTCATCTGTAACCCCAGCGTCTGCCATGTCCTAGCGAGCTGGGTCCTCCCCTCCCTTCCGTGCCTGGGCTCAGCCGCCATCTCCTGCAGGAAGGTTCCGGACCCTGCACCCACACCCGGGACAGCACCCCTCCCATCACTGCTCAATTCCCACAGTGGCTCTTGGCACACAGCTGGCCACACCTACGGGCTGTGTGCCCCTGCCCCCTCCTCCCTTGAGCAGCTCGGCAGACAGCACACGGTAAGCCTGCCGTGGAGAGGAGATCACAAGAACAAGCTCCCCACCAAGCAGCAGCCCTTGGGCTCCGGGTGGGCCAAGCCCCGGCCAGTGCGCCTGCACCTGCAGCAGAGCGGGAGCCAAAGCCTGCGGCAATGGGCCCCGACAAAGACCGCCACCCCCTCCTGCCCTTTGTGGGCGCGGGCCCCTGCCCAGGAGCTGATGCGGTTCCCCAGCACCTAAACCCTGCCTCCCTACGTGGCTACAGAGTCCCCAGGGGAGAGGTCGCAGGTCCAATGTCGCTCCGGTTCCTCACCTCACCAACAGCCAGGCGGGGGCCCAGTTACCGAGGAGCTGATGGCCCACAGGGCACCGACAGCCCAGCCACACCCAGCCCCTACCACTTATAAAATAGCCACCATGATGGGAAAGGGAGTCACGGGGTGAGGCCAATCCTGCCTTGAGGGGTTTGGAGTTGGTTACACATGAGTTCAGACCTGCGTCCTGCACTTAGTTACAAGCGCCTAGGGACACGCCCCTCCCTGCTGGCCCCTGAGGGACAGGCCCCTGCCACTCCAGGACAGGGTGGTCAGGGGAGCAGTAAAGGGCTGACTAAGTCTCCTTTCTTTGGAATCCTCCTCTTTGCATGCACAGTCTGAAGTGCTTGAACATCTTTAGATTTAGGGGCACACACGTGGTTGTCTACTAGCTGCATAGCCTCGGAACGCTTTTGAGTTTGCAATCCTAGTGTAGGAGGGGAGGAAAAGCAGAGCAGCTGCTGGTGCTGGGGAAGGACCAGCAAGAGGAAAAGAACTGGCTGCCGGAGCCTCCAGGAGAGGAGCCTTTCCTGAGGCCGGGAGCCCTCCCAGACCGCTAAAGCACAAGCGGCCCCTCCGTTACAGACGCCCGGTGCGCCAGCCAGAAAGGAAAGGGAAGTTCCACTTGGTACTTGCGCCACGGTATTAATCACCGCAGTGGGATGAGATGGTCAACACCGAGCACACCCCAAATCCTCTGACAGCTCGCTATCCCTACGTCCCACCCTGACCTGGGCGTTCCTGCCACGCTGAACCCGTGGCTATCTGACATTGTTGCGCTCTCCCCTTCGGGGCCTTCCCGGCCTTCGCTGTTCCCTCTGTCACAACCCCCTTCCTCCCCGTCTGCCTGGCTCTCACCTGCTCAGCCTGCAGGAGCGGGCTTAGACGCTGCGCCCCAGGAGCCCTCCCCCGAAGTGTCCCCCCCACTCCCCACCGCTCCCAGGGCCGCTGCGCGGGTGACGGGCTCGTGCGAAAAGGTCGGACGGCGGGCGGGCCGTGTTCCTGCAGGTGGATGGACAACCGCCTCCCACTCACGGACCCCACGCCCGGCGACCGGCGGTCCCGGGGTGCACTCTCCTGCGGCCTCCGGGCCCTGGGCCTTCAGGGGCCACCCGCCCACAGCGAACGGGGAAGGCTCTGCAGCGGCCCGGCCCAGCCCTCCGCCTCGGCTCACCGAAGACCTCCCGGGAGTGGCGCTCGCCGCACACGCCGCGGCTCAGCTCCTTCGGGCCCACGCGGACCTTGAGCTGCAGCGGGGCTGCGTCCCCGAAGGGGCAGCCCCGCTTGGGCATGTCCGCGGCCGGGAAACTCTGCCCGGCCGGCGCGCGCCTCGCTGCTCATCCGCGACGTCACAGCCGCGCGCCAATCCCGGGCCGAGGGCGGGGACGCGGCTAGTGCGCAGTGCGGCGCACGATAGGCCGAAGGGAGGGCAGGGGGCGGGACTCGTGCGGCGGTGGGCGGGAGTCAGCAGCGCGGGAAAGGCCAGGGGCGAGGTCGAGGGGCGGGGCGGGTTTGCCGTGGGGCAGGATAGGCTGTAGTGAGGTCGGGGGCGGGACGAGTGCGCGGCGCGGCGCGGCGCGGCGCGGGATAGGCAGGGGGCGAGGTCAGGGGCGGGTCGGGTGCGCCGGGGGCGGGACTTGTGTAAACGCAGTGCGGGATAGGCCTGGGCGCGGTCGACGAGACGCCTTCACGGCGCTGCGCGGGATAGGCCGAGGGAGAGGTCAAGGGGCGGGACTCAGAGGCACGGGAAGGGTTTGGTGTTTGAGCTTTGTTTTCTTCTTTTTTGGTCTTTTACAATCTTGAATACTGGTTATATTTCCTTGCTGAAATTACTAAAGTTTGAAGATAATTCATCTTTCTCTAATTTTAATTTTGAAAAGCTCCAAGCAGTACCAAAGTAGAGTTACGTAGGACCGCCGCCCGCAGGGACTCGGACCCAGGAGGCGGGCAGCCCCTTCCCCTCCTTTCCTCCCTCCCCTGGCGGTGCAGAGACGGCACTTGCCCGGAGTACGTCCGCGCCTCGATTTCTGCTCCTTTCTCTGGTGTCCTCTATTACTGTGAGAGCTGATTAGGTTCAGGGTCAACGTTGGCAGCGGACGGAAAGTTTGGAGGTGTGAGTCCACCCAGACAGCCTCGGAAGAAAGGCCTGGTGATCCACTTCCAAAAAAACCAGCCACTTAAAATCCCATGGAGCGCAGTTGTACTCTGACACACGTGGGGGTCACCATGGGTTGGAGTAAAGTCCACAGCAACTGGTTTTACAGTTTTTTTTTTTTTTTAAATATTGTATGGTGTTTTAGGTGAAAGTTAACACAGCAAATTACGTTCCCTTTTAGCAATTTTTATACAAGTTGTTCTGTGCCCTTGGTTACAGTTCTACAATGTGTCAGCATTCTCATTATGGCCATTCTGTTTGTTCTGTTTCCGTTGATGCAGCTTCCTTCCTTGGCTTCTCATCTTTGCTTTTGGGGAACTGTTGACTGTTTGGTCTCATATAGTTAATTGTTTAAGGCAGGACATTACTCACGGGTGATAGTGTTAATTTGATAAGCCAATCTGTTATTTGGCTAAGTATGACCTTGAGTATATCCCACCTGAATTTAGAGACCATCTGAAGAATAGATTTGATGCATTGAACACTAATGACCAAAGACCAGACGAGTTGTGGAATGACATCAAGGACATCATACATGAAGAAAGCAAGATGTCATTAAAAAGACAGGAAAGAACGACAAGACCAAAATGGATGTCAGAAGAGACTCTGAAACTTGCTCTTAAATGTAGAGTAGCTAAAGTGAATGGAAGAAATGATGAAGTAGAAGAGCTGAACAGAAGATTTCAAAGGGAGCTTGAGAAGTCAAACCAAAACATGAAACCAAACCCATTGCCATCCAGTCGATTCCGACTCATAGCGACCCTATAGGGCAGAGTAGAACTGCTCCATAGGGTTTCCAGGGACTTCCTGGTGGATCCTTTTGGTTAGCAGCCATAGCTCTTAACTACTATGCCACCAGGGTTTCCCGAGAAGACAAAGTAAAGTATTATAATAACGTGCAAAGACCTGGAGTTAGAAAACCAAAAGGGAAGAACACACTCAGCATTTGTCAAGCTGAAAGAACTGAAGAAAAAAATTCAAGCCTCGAGCTGTAATATTGAAGGAGTCTATGGGGAAAATATTAAATGATGCAGGAAGCATCAAAAGAAGGTGGAAAGAATACACGGAGTTACTGTACCAAAAAGAATTGGTTGATGTTCAGCCATTTCAGGAGGTAGCATATGATCAGGAACTGATGGTACTGAAGGAAGAAGTCCAGGCTGCACTGAAGGCGTTGGCGAAAAACAAGGCTTCAGGAATTGATGGAATACCAATTGAGATGTTTCAACGAACGGATGCAGCGCTGGAAGTGCTCACTCGTCTATGCCAAGAAATTTGGAAGACAGCTACCTGGCCAACTGACTGGAAGGGATCCATACTTGTGCCAATTCTAAAGAAAGGTGACCCAACAGAATGCAGAAATTATCGTTAATATCACACACAAGTAAAATTTTGCCGAAGATCATTCAAAAATGGTTGCAGCAGTCCATCAACAGGGAACTGCCAGAAATTCAAGCCAGATTCGGAAGAGGATGTGGAACTAGGGATATCATTGCTGATATCAGATGGATCTTGGCTGAAAGCAGGGAATACCAGAGAGATGTTTACCTGTGTTTTATTAACTATGCAAAGGCATTAGACTGTGTGGATTGTAACAAATTATGGACAACATTGCAAAGAATGGGAATTCCCGAACACTTAATTGTGCTCATGAGGAGCCTGTACATAGACCAAGAGGCAGTCATTGGAATAGAACAAGGGGATACTGCGTGGTTTAAAGTCAGGAAAGGTGTGCGTCAGGGTTGTATCCTTTCACCATACCTACTCAATCTGTATGCTGAGCAAATAATCTGAGAAGCTAGACTATATGAAAAAGAATGTGGCATCAGGATTGGAGGAAGACTCATTAACAACCTGCATTATGCAGACGGCACTTGCTTGCTGAAGGTGAAGAGGACTTGAAGCACTTATTGATGAAGATAAAGACCACAGCCTTCAGTATGGGTTATGCCTCAACATAAAGAAGACAAAAATCCTCACAGCTGGACCAATAAGCAACATCATGATAAACAGAGAAAAGATTGAAGTTGTCAAGGATTTCATTTTACTTGGATCCACAATCAACAGCCATGGAAGCAGCAATCAAGAAATCAAACGATACATTGCATTGGGCAACTCTGCTGCAAAAGACCTCTTTAAAGTGTTGAAAAGCAAAGATGTCACTTTGAGGACTAAGGTGCGCCTGACCCAAGCCATGGTGTTTTCAATCGCCTCATATGCATGAGAAAGCTGGACAATGAATAAGGAAGACCGAAGAAGAACTGACGCCTTTGAATTATGTTGTTGGTGAAGAATATTGACTATACCATGGACTGTCTTGAAAGTTCAGCCAGGATGCACCTTAGAAGCAAGGATGGCGAGACTCCGTCTCACATACTTTGGACATGTTATCAGGAGGGATCAGTCCCTGGAGAAGGACATCACGCTTGGTAAAGTAGAGGGTCAGCAAAAAAGAGGAAGACCCTCGACGAGATGGATTGACACAGTGGCTGCAGCAATGGGCTCAAGCGTACAAATGATTATGAAGATGGTGCAGGACCGAGCGGTGTTTTGTTCTGTTGTACATGGGGTCTCTATGAGTCAGAACTGACTCGATGGCACCTAACAACAACATTATTTGGTTGAAAGGTGACCTGCAGAAATAGCTTTAGTTCCAAGTTCAAAGGGTGTCTTAGGGCGATAGTCTCAGGAGTTACTCTAGTCTCTATAGGTCCAGTAGTTCTGACCTTTTTTAGGAATTTGAGTTTTGTTTTAGATTTTTCTCCTATTCTATCCAGGACCTTCTATTGTGTCCCTGGTCAGAACAGTTGGTAGTGGTAGCCAGGCACCATCTAGTTCTGGTCTCAGGTTAGAAGAGGTTTGTGTTACGGGCGTTTTTTGGCGTGGGTGTAAGTATCTTTGGAGTTCCTGGGGGGGCGCAAACGGTTCAATGCACAGCTATGAACGGAAAGGTTGGCCGTTCAAATACACCCAGAGGCACCTTGGAAGAAAGGCCTGGTGATCTACTTCCAAAAGGTCCCAGTCTTGAAAACCCTGGAGTGCAGTTCTACTCTGAAACACATGGGTCGCCATGAGTCAGAACCCGCTTGGCCGAAACTGGTTGGTTGCTTGTCCTGCTCTCAGTGGGGTCGTGTGCTGACGGCCTATCAATCTTCCTTCCACTGATGCCTGCTGCCCGTGTCTTGTCATTTCATTACGGATCTCCTAAGTCTGTCGTTCCTTCCACGTTTATTCGCTGAAATTCCGCGGTGAATGAGAACTTCCCCTAGTTGCTGGCATGCAGTTCATGCAGGGAAATGCAGGCCAGCAGGCTAAAGGCTTACTTGTTATGGGTGCCAGTGCTCAGAGAGAGGAGTCGGTGCCTGGTTACTTCCAGCCGTACATAATAAGCTCCTCTCTCTCTCTCTCTGTATCAAGGGTTTTTACATATTCAGTGTGTTTCAATCCATTTCAATCATGATTCTGACTTATTTTAAATGTGAATTAGAAACAATTCATGGCTTTTCAAATAATAACAGCCTTTGCACTCGCTTGCATTCTAAAATGCTCTTGTGAACAGGGAAGGGGGCGTGGTCGCAGCCCGCTCCCTGGAATTGCACACAGCCCGCAGCCCCAGCCCCGAGGAAGGTGTGGGGGAGGAGGGGACACATCATGCCATGTGGCCAGCACGCGGCCTTGGGAGAGAGAGGGCAGGACAGCCGTGTATGCACTAAAGCTCTAGCTTGTTTTCTAGTTTTTTGACTCATCTTACCTAATTACCTTCCCTGTTTATTGTTTTAAGCATTAAAAAACATTTTAAATATACATTTTAAGCTGATGCACTTTGAAAAGTGGTATGCAAATAAATTAGTAATTTCACTGTCAGATGGCCCCCAGGCATCGTGCTGAGGAGCAGGAAGGCTGTGATGTGCCTCCTGGAGAACATACACGTGTTGGATGAACTTCGTTCAGGCGTGAGTTACAGTGCTATCGGCCGTGAGTTCGGTGTCAATGAGTCAACAGTGCATATTAAATAGGATGTCTTTAAATAGAAACATCCATAAAACAAGGTTGTGTGCTGACGAAAATGTTGTGACCAGAGGCTCGCAGGAACCTAACCCTGTACCCGCCTGGAGCAGTGGTTTGGATCAACAGCTGCCTGCA